AAAAATCGATTTATTAAAATATATAAATAAATTTATCAAAATTATAAACGATACCAAAAATTTCACATTTAAGTCTAAGTGATATTTAAAATTACTCTACCCCTTAAAATGATATTTAAAAATATATTACTTAAATTAGTATTTTTATAAATATTTAAACAATTTTTAAGTAAATAAAATATGTAATTGGTTATTATTTTCTTCTAATTGAATAGTAGTTATTGTTTATATTATATCGTTTCTTAAATAATTTAAATAATAATAATTATTATTTTACAATTAAAAGTAAACATCCAAAGTGGTAATTAATAGTCTACCATTTATTGTGATAAAGATAATCATTAAATAATTTAATGTATAACAACAAAATATTATACATTAGTTTAACTATTATATATATATATATATATATTTGCTTTTCTTGATCAATTTTAAAATTAATTCTGTACATGAAATATTTAAACAAATATATTTAAAACCTTGTTATAATTAAGAACTGTCAAATTTATCATGCAATATATTAGATAAAATTTTTATCTAAAAACTTTTATCATTTGTATTTTGTTTTCACTAAACTTTTGAGTTGATTAGATTCAGTTCTAAATTATTCTTGCTATTAAAATGTTTTACTAGTTAACAATAGACAACGCAATGTGATTTTGAAGAAGTACGTTGAAAAGATTGAATAATCACAGTTTTTTTTTTGTAATGCAATAAGTTTAATTGTTTCACAACAGTATTTTTGTGTTACTGGTCGATCACAGCGTGATGTTTATCTTTGAACGTTATTCAGCATTTTTATTTAATTTAAGTTTGATAAAATTGTTAAGTTTTATTATTCAATTCAATAAATAGATAATAATAAAAAATCGTATTTTCATGAATAACATCTAATCAATTTTAAATTTTAAGTTTAGAACTAGTGAAAATATTTTCGTAACAAGAGTTAATAAGCAATTAATTAAATCAGAAAATTAAATTTTGAAACAAGTTGAGTAAATACAAAATTATTGTGGGTAAGTTCTACATTATTAATTATTTTCAAACCTCTGCATGACCTCATATAGTTGAGACGGTTCAGTGTCAACCTCTATAAGTTCTAACACCATAAAGCAATATGGTAACAATAACAACAAAAGATTATTCATTATTAACAAAGTAAAACTTTAGAATATACTGATATTGTTATTGCACTGTAATGCACACCTACGTGCGTGGGACTTATGTATAATTAAAACATACACAATAATACTTAAAATAAGTTAAATTGTTTGAGTTAAATAATTTGAAAAACAATGAATTCATATAAACATTTTAAGAACATCAGAGTATGTTTTAATTCTACGTAGATAAAAACTTAATTATAATCAAGGTTTTTTTCAGCATAATAAGTATGCATTGATTTGGATTAATTAAATTTTATTTTATTCAAATACCTAATATTTTAGATAAAGTCTATTAGTGTAAAACTGTTTTTTAACTACTATACATTATATATAAAAATTCTTTAGAAAAACAATATTCTTTTATAATAAGTTTACCAATATTAATGTGTACATTTTTTAACTAGAAGAAAAGGTTTATCTATTGAAGTCATTACACCACAATACATATTGTAAGCTTGTAAAAGTTTATGAGAAGCTATTATATCTTAATATTGTTTACATTTTAGTAGTAAAGTTAATTCAATTAATATTTTTATTAGTTCATAAATGAATAGAATTGTGTTTAAGTTTAAACTCATTTTTTTGGTCTATTTTTACACAAGATACTACTTATGTTAACAATTGGGACTAATTAATCAAAGCTCGTAATTTTAAACGTTTTATTTTTTAATTATTGTTTTATTCTTGTTTTCATTAATCATTAATTATGTTTGACATCCTCTCTAAAAACTATTGGTTGTACCAGAGAGGACGGGAAAACTACAATACTTAGAGCGACGGAATTGAACTTCGGTACCTACACCCAGAGAAAAACCTCGATCTATACAGGGTGTTCAGTAAGTCAGGAAACGGGTTTCTATTGTTCTCATTGTTACAAACAATGAGAACAATAGAAACCCGTTTCCTGACTTACTGAACACCCTGTATAATAAATTCATTGTTCAATTTGATAAATATATCATTACTATTGAATCAATGATATATTTATCAATATGATATTTTTTTTTCTTGTCTTGAACAATAATTATTTATAAGAATAGTTATTTTGTTCGTATTAATAAAACATTATCATAAACCCTTGATAAAATTTCTCTTTCAATTTTGATTGAGGTTTTTCTTTGGGTGTACGCGTAGAAAAAATATATCATTTATTTAATCCTAAGTATTATAATCATACACAATTGCACGTGGATCTTCACCTAGACTAATGGAGTGTTGATTTTAACTATTTTTACATAGTTAAAAAAACACTAGTTTAAAACGTTAATGTGGAATACAAATTTCTCTTCTTAAGAATTTTGGTTGTAATTAAACTTAGTTTCAAATAAATTTAAATACGTAAGAATTTAAAACAGGATACGTGATATTTTTATTATAACTTCTTATATTTCATATCTTTAAATATATCAATGTTAAACATAATATATCCAGTTCAACAGTCCATTATAGTTGACGTAAATTCAAAAAAACTCAACTCGACCCGTGACTATTATTAGTTGTAGTTATTACAAGTTTAATATTTTTTGTGTGTACCCATCGAGGTATGATTCGTTAACGACTGAGCTAGGTAGGCCACCAAAGTTATTTAAAACAACTGAAATTAAACATAATTCGATTAAAACAATATATTTAATCAAAATGTTTTTTTATGAATCATGTTTAAACCATTAAAAATATTAAAATTTCATTTTATTGTAGTTTAAATTATCATTTTCTTAATTTTTAAATGTAAACATTTTTTAAAAAATATTTTTAATTGTCCACATAAAAATTGAAAAATATTGAGATTAAATGCATATATGATCTAAAAGAATAGGTTAAAATTTTGAATTCTATTTGCAAAGCTCATAAAATAATTTTACGTATTACTTAGTTTATTTTTCGTTCATTAAAACAATGCAAAGTTCATCAACTTTTGAGAACTAATTTTAACATAGATTAACTTTATATTCTAAATAGTTTGATTTACTCTTAGAAAATAAATATAAAAGGAACGTATCAATAGTATTTAAGTTTTTTAGCGAATATTTCTAATTAACATAAATAAAAATTAATTAATTAAAATTAAATAAAACTTGTTAAAGATTTTTAATTCTTTTAAATGCAATATCCGTTCCAAATATCTCTTTGATAATCAAATTGAGGATATTAGTACCATTAATGATCTTGGGGTAGTTTATAAAACCAACTTATCATTTCAGCCACACATTGATCATATTTGTGTGAAGTCCCTAAGAACTCTAGGGTTCTTAATTAGGAATACCAAAGAATTCAAGAATGAACAGTGTCTAAAAACATTGTATACTTCTTTAGTTAGACCTACGTTAGAATATTGCTCAGTTATTTGGAATCCTTCACAAGTCGGATTGATAGAATCGCTTGAGCGTGTACAAAGAAGATTTTTACGTTTAATCGCATATAAGAGACGTATGATTTTTATTAATAACCCTTCCGAGTCAATATCACTTAATTCTGTACAGGCTTCCCTTAACTTAGATTCCCTTGTTAATAGGCGAAAATATACAGACGTCTGCTTTCTTTCTAAATTAGTAAATGGTGCTATAATCTGTCCAGAACTATTACAATCCATAAACTTTCACGTTCCAAAATTTAATTCACGTTCTTGTCCTACATTTGAAATCCCTTTTCATCGAACATCTTACGGTTTTAATAACCCTGTTGATCGAATAGCCAGAGAGTGCAATAAATTAAAATTTGATTTGTTTATTATGAATGATTTGTATTCCTTAAAACACTGATTTTAGTAGCCTGATGCATATCATTAAATCACTTTTCTTTTTTTGTAAATTTATTTTAATATTATGTACTTAATTAATTATAATTGTAACATACTTGTATCTTATTTTAACAATGTTTTATTGTCACTGTACTTGAGCCCACCTGGGCGTTTACACCAAATAAATAAATATAGAATAAAAGTATTAATTACCCTTTTCCAATTTTGCTAAAATAAATTTATAATATGGTTGCTTAACGAAAACATTTATTAATGATACTTTCCTAATATTTTTATTTATTTATTATTATTTTATTTTTTTATTTTTAGCAACTTAAATTAATACATCTCTGTGCCATTTGTGCTTTAAGCGATGGTTATCGGAAAAAACATTTTTTAAGAGATCTCTTATTGAAGGATTAGAGTGAGAGGTTAGTCGTGTATGGAATCTTTTGTAATATAACTGCTTCTTGTTTCACAGTTTTATTTTTGAGGTCGTATGGAGTGTGTGGTTTAATACGTATGTACATTTTAACTTAAATAAAATATTATTATTGGGGTAGTCACGGGATGCCTAACTCAATTAAAATGACTTGAAGTAAGGAATGACGTGAACAATCAAATCGGTTACAATTATTTTGTCTAGGAGGTTTTGAATTGTAACCACTTCAGTAATATTAAAAGAAACCAATAACATCATTACATAACATTTGTCGCTTACTGATAGGTATTGGGTTTAAATGTAGCTCATAATTATATTGGTTGACTTCAAAATTGAAAAATACAACTTTTAAACAGAAATATCTAACTGTGAAGTCGTTATGAACCTAACATTAGAGTTTATGTAACCTACTTTATTTATCCGTTTTTGTTTGACAATTAAGATTATATCTATTTGATATCGTTTTAATGAGTTACTAGTTAAAGCGAAAAACATCAATATTTGAAAGCACAAGTTTCATTAGTTATTAGACAATGAGGAAGTTATTAATATTCCTGTATGGTTTAATATGAGACATTAATTTAGTATTTATAATGAAAACTGTAAAATTTGTATCATAAAAAATTGTTATGAGTGTATACTGATAACGGTTTATTATTATTATTCAAATTAATTCTGACTATTAATCGCAACAGTTGAAAGATATATTAAAATTACCACAATACAATTATTAGATTCAGATTTGAATAAGATCTTAGTGTATTTATAGTAATCTATGACTAAAGTGCACTTGTAATTACAACGATTCTATGTCATTCATAATTAACACATGGTCCAAGAAAGATATAACCTATTTTTTAACGACCAACAACATTAAATTGAAGTGCATGAGTTGCCACTTAACACGTCGTTTGTCGAAATTATGAACACGTTTGTGTAATATCTCTACGTAGTTGCCGTGTGCCGCTTTAGAATATTCAAGTGTTTGACACAAAACACGACAAACATTAAACACGTACTAAATAGGCGGCTACAAATGTCTCGAGTTTACCATTAGTAGGAGGAAGTTGCCAAAATTTGCATTTTCTGTGAAAATGATCCCATTTGTTACTGAAGAGCACAAGTTTTGAAGTTGAAAACACATTATCCTGCACCGCATCCATTGGACATATAAATGAACAACCGATGGTTGTACAGATAAAACTGGACACACGTGTTATAAATTACACAGGTGGAGTAACATTGTTGAGAGAGTTTTGAAATGGCGGCAACTACCTTGTCAAAACAATTATACTTTTTGCAATACTGTACTTGTCAACTCTTAAACTTTACTTAAAATGCATCATAATAAAATCAAGAGATTTGTAAGAAGAATATTTATAAAATAATTTACTAAGAAAAAACCCAGCACATGAGGTCGCGGCACAGTGGTGACTTAGCATAGTTGGGTCAAGTATAATGATATCTGACAGTGATTAAAATCACTATCATAAAAGACGCTTCGATGCAAATCTGTAGATTGTGTTTAATTTTAAAAAATTGGTGGATTATTCCAAAAGCTACATGATCTGATATTTCCTTATTAATATTCTGATTATAAGTGTATATGAATATACTTATAGAGAGAAATGGTGTTATTTAAAAAAAAAGTATGTCGAATGAAAGAGGGATATAAATATTATTTCTCACAAAAAAATTGTATTGATCCATACACTTTTCAATAAGTTATAGCATTATAAAGTTAAAAATGTAAAAAATAAAATTGAGAATTTTCACACAAAAATAGCATTCCGTAGCCATTTTCACCTTGAAGACGAAATAATGTCCGAAATTTTTATTCTATGATAAAGTATATTACATTAGCTTTAATTTAAGATATATATAAAAGTGCCAGTCTTTCCGTAACATTTTCAAAATTTAAGTTGAAAAAGTTAATTTTTTGTAAAAAAGTTGTCATTTTAAATCCCCCCCGTGGGCTGGTGAAAGGTCAGATTTATAAAAAAAATATACCAAATGATAGGTAAAGACATCATGCATCTATAAAAATAAAAGTATATTGATTTGTTAATTTTTGAAAAAGTTTTAAGTAAAAATGTCGAAAATTAGCGATTATTAAATTTGTAATTTTTTTGGTGATTTCCTCCATTTACGGGGAACGAGGGAACTTTTTTCATTTTTCAAAGGTAATGTCCTCGACTAGATACGATTTTCGATCTTTTAACGTATCGTTGAAAGAAATCGGTTCAGTGAGAGCTGAGAAAAAGTGGTAAAAGACACAAAAAAAAAAAATAATAAAAAAAACACATCATAGTAAAATTAATATCTTCTCAGCATCGAAGCTAAAAATGATTAATTATCATTAATATAATATACCAAAAATGTTCATTAAAATATTGATTTTTTACAACTGATAATTACAAAAGTGGTTTGTAAACACTTAGATAATATATAAAAATAAGTTTGTATTGAAGATAAACTACATATTAAAGCACGCGTTAATTAATAAAAATAGTATTGTTTAGTTACCTTGGTAAATGAAATATTATTAGAAAACATTGTATATGCAAATATTTTAACAGACAGTGGATCAAATGATTAACAAAAAATTACTATATTTATGAGTTGTAGTTGAGATATTTCATTATGTTTACATTTGAATTTAAAGTAAAAAATTCATCAGTTCACAACTATGCATTGGTTCTTAATGGAATATGTTTTGTACGTATAAATTGTAACCCTAACATAAATAGAATGTAAAATATAATGACAATTAATCAATGTTACTTAAAATTTGTCATCGAATGGCTTATTTTTCAAGTAAATAAAGTAATTATTTTGTTTTAATAGGTACTAGCGTGTATTGGTTACATTAGTATATTGCAAATATTCGGTAGTATTTATGCAGCAGCTTCGCTTTTTTTGGTAAGATCACAAAAATGATTTAAATGTTCTTATTAAAATGTAGTAAATTATTTAATGTACAAGTTCCTAATTATCAACAAATTATGATTATTAATCAATTAACTTAGTAATTCTCTGTATATGATTTAAGAAAAACGTTTCTCAAACAAAATATGCATTGGCTATTGCATCTGTGGGATGCTGTGTTGACTTTTTCAGTCTATTTATACAAACCCATAAGTAAGTTCAACGTTCACATTTGTTGTATACTTCAATAGTTTTAAATACGTCTTTTTTTTAAATCTATCTATCATCAAAATCAACTAAAATGTGAGAAATTTATAAACAATTAGGTTATATTAATAATCTGGTGTTTTAATTATATTTATGATTGATCTATAGACAGATTCAAAATTTTAAATTAAAATAATAAAAAATTACCATCAAAGAAAATCCAATCAATATTTAAATGATCTTCACAATTGAATACTAAACTTAAATAAAAAAAGGTCATGTAATTGACCAAAATCATATATTTGATATTAGCGGAGAAAAATTATGGCTGTTTCCACTAATATTTTTGACCTTAGAACTGCAAGTTCATAACTGTTAATATGTATAGAATTTTATTACAGCTTACAACACTACTTTTTTTTAGTTCTGAATGGTTCTATTTAAGATGCTTGTACTCAATAATACATTTTCTTGGTAAGTTTTATTGTGTTAACAAATATGTTTCCTAAGAATAATTTTCAGCCAATTCGTTTAAATTTAAATTTAAAAAAATAAATCTTGTAATAACCCAAGGAAAAAGTGTCAAATATTTACATTTTATACCAAACATATTTTAATTTTATAGCGTTTATTTCTGAAATCGCGTGGTTGTTGTTTATGTATATCCATACCATTCAAGATGAATACAAAAAACATGAATTGTCTGAGAGTTTTAAGGATAATGTTGAAGAAAGACTGTCTATAAAATCGAATAATTCACAAAAGAAGAGCAAAATAGCGAAACCAAAATTAGATAGTGTTCCAACACCGAGTGATGAACAAGAATTAGCATATAATCCGATTCATGATCAAACTGAAATTGTTAATAGTTCAATAAAAAATGTGGCAACTAAAGAAGAAATATTTGTACCCAATAACAACATTTAATGTGCGACAATGTAAGATTCTATGAACAATAATGAACTAGGCTGTTTTTAAAAATTTTGATACCTCTAATTTATGCCCTCATCCACCAATTAGCAACATTAATACTACACTAATTATTTAATCTATTATCGAGATTTTTTAATATTTCCTATATATTTTATGCTTATAATATGTAATTATCAATAACTAAAAATTGTTAAATAATTAAAAATAATAAAAATCTTTTTTCAAACTGCAAATTAATATAATAAAAACATATAATAATAACATTTTATTTTTTAATGTAACTTTTTCTTTATTTCATTATCATAGTTTTCAAATATCCTTCTAATAATTAATATCATATTGAGATTTGATTTAATATTTAAAATGGCCTGTGTATTTATTCTGCGAAATATTTGACTTTGTATACGCTAACTTTTTTACACACGGATGTGTCAAAATGAGTTTCAATTGGTCGCTTAAGTAAAAGGAAACATACGTAATGCTATTCTTACACATGGAAAAGTATTCTCCAATTTATGTATAAAATATAAATATTACATTAATATATTAACATATCATATTGCAACTACACATAGTACATAAGTACATAACAATACAATTATATATATATATATGTGTGTGTGTGTGTGTGTATAAAGTGTTTATATTAATAAATTGTATACAAAATAATTATTAATAATAAGCCTTTAAACGACAAAAGTACAAAATAACTTACCTATATATAATACATTCCATCACAGTCACAATAACTATGGAATATCACTAACAATTATCAATTTTTTCATTTATTGGGCAAAACAATTTAACCATTTGCCCAAAATAGATTTTTCCAAATGTTTTTTATGAAAAGGGGACGATATTATAATTATTAAAAATTTTATCCTGTACTAGTTCCAGAAAATAAATGAATAGACTAAATATTATTAAAACAAAATCAAAGGAAGGAAGTATCCTTCCTTTATAAACTAAGCCAATAAAAAAGTTGATTAAACAATAAAAAATGGACTAATTTGATTAGAAATAATAAACAATTATTTATAATAATAATTAAAATCATTATATTATAGGAGACCATTTGTTTGTTTAAATTAAAATTTATTATTGAACTTAAATGTTGATGATAATAGAAAATTGACTACCATGAAATATTAGATTCGTTGATTTTTTATGTGATGATTGGTTGTCTTATGTAGATTGACTATACATCTATGACGCTAAATTTGATTATTGGGTTATTTGAATTTATGGCTCTTATCTACCTGTCTCCATTGACTTCAGTATTTATTTTCTCAAATACCTGTCAATCGTATTAAAAATAATCATTGAATTTGTCATCAATTTGTTAAGTAGATTTAAATTTATTTCTCTAGTATATTAGTGATCGTGTATGACTTTTTATCTTAACAGTTCTTGGCCCCGACTAGCTATAAAAATTCTAATAAATTCCGATGTACTGGTTCAAAAGTTGTAATCGATAAGTAACTTTATTAATCAAAATATTATCTATTATAAGCTATATAGTTAAATATATATGTTGCCATTAAAAAAAAAAAAAAGAGTTGTTACCTTTATAAGGAACATAAAGTTGGGCTTAAAAGTATTTAACCACTTATAAATAAGTATATAATAAAAAATCTATACAAGTCTGATGTTTGTACTCCATATTTTCTTGAAGTATAAAAAATCACGTACGTAATAGTAAATATTAACTTATTAGTACAACAACTGAATTTTTGTTAATTAAATACGCATATATTTTATTTAATTATATTCGTAAAATATTAATCACGTAAAACTATATTATGTAACAATAGTAATAGTAGTTTCATTTGTATATAGATATAGACTTGTAGTTGACTATTTCACTAATTAAATTGTAATGACTAATTTTGGACGTTCATAAAGAGATAATTAGATAAAAGTAACAAAGCAATTTGCAGAATTGACAATGTTGTAGACTCATCTTTTAGGAAGCAGCCTAAAAATTTAGTTGTGATATTATTTAGGATATTTTTAAAATTTATAATGGATATTGTACATAATTTTGTTTATAATTTTTAATTAAATGAATTACCGAAAAATTGAAGGTATGTAAATAAAATTTAAATAAAAAAAGTAAAAATCTTTGTATTATAAAAAAAAATCAAATCTATCTTAGTAACAAAATGTTCCTACATTAAATTATTTTTATTCATTATATGTTAAATCATCTTTGAGTTTTATTAAAAAATTTCGTAAAATAATTGCAATAACGTGATTTTTGTTGTCCAAAAACTGAAACTTAAGTTTCTAACTTGTAGGTTAGTTAATAAATCAGTATTTCAAGTACCTTAAGATTTATCATATTATAAAATTATTATTACTATTATCTTAAGAATTATTTAGTGTACATAAACAATGCACGCTATATAGTTGTAATGAATATGTTTTACAAAAAATGTTTCATACTATTTAGGGTTTTTTTTAGTGTATTATATTATATTAATATTTTTCTATTTAAATGACTATAAAATACTTTTTAAAAATTTTACGCTGTTATAACTCATACATACTTAAAACGCCTAATTATAAATGATTAGATTACACATATTCCTTTAGAGTTTTAGTGGAAGTATACTTAATAAATTAAATACTGCAAAATAAAAATCACAACTAAAAAGTTTTAAGAATTTGTAAAAAGAATCACCAAACAAAATTGTAGTATTTCTGAAATTTATTAAATTGAATATTTTTGCAATAAATATTTAGATTACTAAAAAATAATTTTTTGTTCAGTTTTTAGAGTCAATCGAGTTTTTTAAAATATGGGATTGAGGTTTAAACAGATTAGATAAACTTAAAAGGTTATTAAAATAGTTAATTATAGATGGAAACAAGAATGGGCTATGTTTTCTATAAATAATGTACTACAGTAATATGAAATGAGAAATTTGATTAGTATTAATGAGTTTGATGCATTGGTGGCGGCATCTGTACGGATTTAATACAATATAATAGTCTTATTGCATACTGTGTTAGTAGTTAGATACAAATGATAACGTGGTTACTGTAAAGGAGATTAAGATTGATCGAACAGCTGATCATGATAGTGTGATACCTCACTTCGTCAAACACGCGCACAAAGATTGCAACGATGGTATAAGAGGAAGGGGAATTCCAACGTTATCGGAGGGTCGTGTGCACGCTGCTGCCGTTGTGGCGCCGCTTGAGCCTCCAACCCGTGTTAGTCGATTCCATGCGCCCGTTTGACTGCAGTCAGCGCGGTTATCGGCGTTTTTTTCATTTAAGTTCTGTGTGTATGCATATGTATGTGTGTGTGTGTGTGTATCGCTATACATTTGTCGGTTAAAGCGCGCGCGCGCTATCGCGTACTCGCTCGTACCTTTAGATAAAATACGAAGTTCTTTGTCTTACTCGTGTGTAGCACGTACTGAATGTGAAATATAATATACATGTATGTATATGTTTTGCGCACGCGTGTGCCGTTCGCCTTCAGTTAGTACGTGAAAACCGTATAGCACAGTAGTTGTAACTTGTCTAAACCGTCGTTTCGTGAGTGTATGTGTTTGCGCACGCCGTAAGCCAAACATTTATTTCGTTTAACGTTATATTTTTTTCTACTAATATCAGACGGTTAATTATTATTATTTCGTTATCGCGTCCCCGTCATGCAAGCCAATCCACCATACGTCCTAGCAATCTCGACAGTAGTTGTCGACGCTTCCGTTCTGTAACCGCTGCTTCAGTGATTTCGTGAATACCAACAGCAGTCGCTTGTTCATTGATGTTAAATATTTTTTTGCCCATCGCTGTTATCGTTTCAATACTCAATTGGAATACCACACAGTAGCACATTTATTTAAGGATACAATTCGACGTGTGATAACTATCTTCGTTTTGTGATAAGGTTATCGTCAAATGTTGAACGAAAACCACACTAACTATTTTCATTATTTATATTATTCGGGTACTGACGTCAAGTAAAAACGGACGCGGTGCGCGCCCCGGCGGAATCTCAAATGCCGGCCAGTGGCCGGGGGCCGGACGCCACGGCCGCAGCCTCAACCGCTGCCGTGGCGGCGGCCGCTAAAAAGTCCCCTGAGAGCGGCGATGAATCCGAAGAGGAAAGCGAAATCTTGGAGGAGAGTCCTTGTGGTCGGTGGCTGAAGAGGCGTGAAGTCGTAAGTACCTTCATTAATCAATTTCTATAATATTATCGTTCGATAATGATAATAAGCGTAGGAAACATAATATGCCGGCTGATAAACAACTAACTATGATAAGAAATCCGGTGATAGTAACAACCGGATTTATCGCTTTTTTTATTATTTCTTGAGGTAAACTAACCCAAAAATCGTGAAATTAATATCAAGAAAGGAATACGTCCTAATTAGTTTCTTTAGTTTGCCAATCATTAATACAGCAAAACCTTTGTACACAAAAAATAATTAATGGTAAACACATCATCAATATAGTTTTTCGTGAAATAATTTGTCTTCGATTGATTAAATACACCCATATTAGCTGTAATAAAATATTTCTAAAAACTGGTGTATTATCAAATTTAAACATTGATTATATTAAATTGATATATTTTTTTGAATTAATGAAATAGGAAGTGAATAATGTTTAATTTAAGTATTTATGAATGATTTTGATTTAGTATTTTTAATCGGCAAAAGTTGTTTAGATTAAATAAGAAAAGAAGGTCGTTTTTTTCCTTATTGAACCTGGTTTATTCCCTTCAGAATTCAAATTGTATGGGAAGAAAGATTGGGCCGTCAGTGCGCCCACAAGCACAAGGTTGTTTGTTAATTCTCGAAGGTTTTAATGTATCTAACTATTGTGAAGGCGTTCATTTAGAATTTTACTTAGTAATTTTTTAAAATATTTTATTAAACTTTTTAAGCATTTCATTATTAATCAAACACTTATTAACAAATTTCTGTTGTATATGATCAAAATTTTATCATAATTTGCTCAACAACATTGACTATCTTCACTATTTAACCATATATAACTTTAATGATCATTAAAAAGGTTGTCTTGTACACTTCAGTACGTTTATACAAGTGCCTATGCCACATGTAATGTGCATTTTCGTTTCAAATAACGTATGTAGCCCATTGTTTGTATAAATTATAAGCTGTTATCATGCTACATACAAAACCGTTTTAATTATGTAGAAAGGAACTTCGTCACTATTTAATTCGGAAACACCATTGCCCTTGACCCTCAGATTAAATAAAAAAGTCCCAATAAGCGTTATTTTAAAACCTATATAGCTGTGAAAAAAATATGCTTGTTGGTATTTTTACGGTTGTCTTAACTTCTGCTGAATTTTTGAAAAAATTATCTAAATTTATTTACTGTCTCATGTTACCAACTTGTCCTGGTGCCCCTACAATACGACATGCAATGACCTACTAACAGACTAACCAATTTAATCTCTGTCGCACTTATTAATAAACATTTAAAAAATCGTTTGTCATTAGAAATTTTAAAATCGTTTTAAAGTATTATAAAGTATATTTAACAATTTCACTTCTATCTGATTCATTCATCTATATCATTACTATATTTATTTTGTTACTATTAATTTATAGAAGACCTTTGGTGAATGTATAAAACAAATCTGCGCATCACATTGATATAATTGTATAAGTAATTCTGTAGTTCAAAGGCGTTTATGAGCCTGTAGAATGACTCAAAAGGTCATAATTATAAAATTTCGGTTTAGACTTGGATCATAGATAAGTGTTGGTAATTGTGATTGCTAGACTTATAAAATATATTGTATGTGCCTTTAAAGTTTGCATAATATTTGAACTCAACTATAACTTTTGACCCATTTGTTCTAAAATTATTGGTTATATTATAGTATGCATTATATTATAGAGTAATCTAAAGATAATAAAAAACTGTAGGCCTCGGTTGTGTTAAGTTTTCAGTAATATTTTATTAATTATACATTATCCGTATGATTATCAACGACGATTTTTTTGTGTTCTATCAAGCTATTAAAACCAGAAATTCCCGAGAGTTACTTTTAAAAATTTAGTGAATATAACTAGTTGATTTAGCTTTAATAACATTATGTAAACCTACAAGATACTTGTTATAGCAAACAAAAGCTATTTTATTTGTAAACAGTGTCTTCTAAAAATAGTTTCGTAAAATATGTTTAAAAACAATTAGATGTGTTCTTAGTTTGTTTCTATTCGTCAGTATACTACTTTAAAGTACACTTTTATCTACATAAAAAAAATGTCGCCTTTGTTGTAATATAGTTATATTTTTATTTAAATATTGAATAATAATAGTCCTTTATTGTGAATTATTATTTGCTTTATTTTTTTAATTTTTACACGTATAATAATTGAGCTTAAAAGTCCAAATTGTTTAATTACATAACTAGGATCTAGATTAATTATAATTATTGTTTAATAGTCGCAATGACTCATTTGTTGTTTTTATTGTTTAATGTTCGAAAAAATCACATAAATTTTTTAATGTATAAAATTTTGAAAGCCAAGGTTATTTTTTTGTAGTTTGTAAACAAAAGTGAGAACTTGTAATACAAAAAAAAAAATTTTGTTAACATGAATTTTTGACTAGTTACGATTCTGGTTGTTGAATGTAAAATTACTCAAAATTCTTGGCTAGTTGAAGGGAATCACTATTATAACACGATATTATTGAGTTTATTAGAGAGAAGTCTAAGATCAAAATATCGAATCTATAATAATAATATGTCAAACATTGTTGTAAATTTAAATAAATTTTGTATCATAAAATAGAAAAAACGTATAAACTGCTAGATGATTTAATATTATTTTAATTCATTACAAACTGGTATATTCAATTTTTACAGTAATCATTTATTACTATATTACAGTCGTAAACGGTATTCGTTAGCCTAACATAGTTTAGCACGAGCTTTCTTTCAATATTTGACCTTTAAAATATAAGATCATTTTGTAGTCAAATGTTGATAGCACACTTTTTATTATCTATGAAATATTTAAATTACATTTAGTAGATGTATGGGTTAGATAATTTATTACTATTGTGTATTACGTTTTTTCCAATAAAAGTATAAATTAAAACTTCAATACTTAACGTGAACATTTCGCAATATCGATTATTATTTTACTTAGAATCGCAATAAACTCTCATACATAAAATATACACAGTTTAGTGTATTTTAATATTTTCTTGTGTAGTTATAATTAAGGAAATTACTACGTTGTCACTTGTCGTTATTATACAGCCAATTATGAATTTCTGAGTCATTACTCGTTAGCATTAATTTCCCTAAAAATGTTCGTTCTGCAAGTCTTTGTCGTGTTTTTTTCTAATTTTGTAAGCTTAAACTTAATGCATAATTGCATGATAAATGTTTCATTTTTACCCTTTTGAAGCTATATCGGCCTTGAATTCACTTTACTTTGTCATGGTTGTCACCCGTACCAGCTGCTTTTCGTTACTGGTTGATCTAAGTTTATGTGGAATTAATGTAATTAATTATTATTTAGAAATTACGTATAAAAGTTTTTGTATACTTTAAACAATAGTTTTACACAAAATATAGTTAATGGCTAATATTATTGATGCGTTCGTACAATTTGTAAATTATATACTTTTGTGTTTTTTCGTTGAATTGTTAAAATTTCTATAAAAAGGTAACATTGAAAAAAAAAATTTTCAAACGAATATTTATATTACTCTACCTTTTATCAACTTCGATATAATCCTGTTATAAGTGTATTTTACCGATTTACAAAGATAAAAAGTACCGAGTAAAAACATATCATACTAATGTATTTGCATGGCAAACTTTGGTTATAATTAAAAATTATTATAAATTTATCTCTGTAAACAATAACCAGTATAGCTAAATTTAAACCTTCAAAATAAACAATACTATTAGTAGTGACATATTTTTTGTAATATTGAACCACAATTTATAATAGTTTGTTTAAATTGTAGTTTAATTATAGATTTTTTATTTACTGATATTATTTGAATTGAGTTCAACGAAAACACAATTTCGATAAAATTGTATAATTCATCAATTTTAATATATATATATATAAAATTTTTTTTTGAAAGTTCAATGCCATTTACTTTATGTTTAGGAATGCTATTTGAATTTTTCATTCAATCACCCACGCTCACACATTTTTATCTGATACTGAACGTTAAGTAGTTTTGATTAAGTGAATCTATGTTAAAATGTTTTAAGGTTGTAAATTAAAGTATTTAGATATCCAGGAGTCGATTTAGCCAGAATAATTTAATTTTCACTTCTAATTTTATAATTGTGACCGTTTAATATTTTTAGTTTTAATGGATATAAATAATGATTAAAAAAATGTCATTAACTTGTTATTCTTTTATAATAATTGTTGTCGATCATGTTTTTAATATTCTTTATTGCTCCAATATCAATAGTAAACTGTGATTTGTAAACTACCAAATTTTTAATGAAATAATTCTAGAATTTTCATATCTACTTGACAACAGTCTGTTTATTTAATAGCAATCGTTTAAGTAAACAGATAAACTCGATTATTTTTTTAAATTTTATAGGTGTTGATGTATTTTAAGATTTGATGTAATTGTTTAAATATAATAAAATGAAATAGTATGTTCAAGTGACGCGTTGTGAACTACGGTGTAAATCTGAAGCCTTGGCAAAATCAGTTTAGCTTATTTATAGCTAGGATAGGGTTTACGTATTGGTAAATCATATGCGTTGTAAACGGAGACTAATAAAGAGCTTTTCTAATATCAGATGATATATGAATACATTATTTTCACATCTTAATATTTATGACTAGGTACATTCTACACACCTTGATAATTTTCTTATTCTAACATAAAACTTATATCTCGGGTACTGTATAATCTAATGATTCCTTTTGCATATGTATGTGTATACGTATGCTCCGCTGACATAAATAAGGCAAACTCTGTGACTTGATTGCGATGTAGTCGCAATCAACTATAGTATTATGGAAACCGAAGCACTGACGAAATCGACCACAAGGGCCAATGTCAAAACAATTTACCATTCATATTACTCGTCCTATGCACTAAGGACAATTTAATCGTACAACTCTCTTAATATCACTTGCACCAATCAAATGTAACGATAGGCTTTTTCTGTCGTTTG